CAGGCAGATAGGGGGTAGCCCTCCCAATGCCCTCTGGATGGAGTATATGGCTCCAAATTGCAGGTACCCCCAGCAGACTGTGTCCTGTCATCCCCCCTTACCCCACTCAGAGACCATACATCTCCTTTTCAGGTGCATTTACAGGGAGCGGCAACAAGCCCCCCTGTGACAAAATAAGGAATCTCCCACAGGCTGTTCCTCCCCCTTCAAAACCCCTTGGAGGTATAAGGAGGGAACTGACAGCCCAGACTCCTAGGCTCCAGAGGGGAAGGGAGGGGCAGAGAGGAAGGGGAGAAGGACCAGCTTGGAGCAGGCAGAGTTTCTTCTCTCTCTGCCTGGCACATGTTGCCCAGCCATGGGGACCTTCGACCTGTGGACAGATTACTTGGGTTTGGCACGTCTGGTGGGGGCTCTGCGTGGGGAAGAAGAGCCTGAGACCAGGCTGGACCCCCAGCCAGAACCAGTGCCAGGACCGGGGGATCAGAGGTCCAGCCCGGAATCCTCACCAGCTCCGGAACGCCTGTGCTCTTTCTGCAAACATAATGGCGAATCCCGGGCCATCTACCAGTCCCATGTGCTCAAGGATGAGGCAGGCAGGGTGCTGTGCCCCATCCTTCGAGACTACGTGTGCCCCCAGTGTGGTGCCACTAGAGATCGTGCCCACACTCGTCGCTTCTGCCCACTCACTGGCCAAGGCTACACCTCTGTCTACAGCTACACCACCCGCAACTCCGCAGGAAAGAAGTTGGCCCGGCCTGACAAGGCGAGGACACAGGACTCCAGTCACCGCAGAGGAGGAGGAGGAGCCAGTGCAGGTGGCTGGGGAAACCCACTGTGGAGGGGGGCCTGCCTTTGTTAAGTGGGATTAACCCTAGCACCCACTTCATAGGGTTGGGGTAGAGAATCTGTGTAGAAACCTTAGAACAGTATTCTAGAAGTGTTGATCAACTGGGGTTTGACTTTGTGGTCTTGGGCAAGGGACTCTCTCTCTCTGGGCCCTTGGGGAAAATGCCATCCTTTTACAGGCACAGGTGACCTGGCATGGAAGCCATGAGGATTAGCAAGCAGTGGGATCTGGGGACAGGTACAGTAGGGCCTTGACACTGCTTGGCACTGAGGAGCTGTGTAGCCTGAGAGAAATTGCTCAGACTCTCTGAACCTCAGCTTCCTTATTTCTCTACTCATTTGCTAATAGTTGTGTGCCTGTTCTATGCCAAGCACCTGGCTGGACTAGTGGTGGACAAGGTAGATGGAAGAGCAGCAGTTAAAACACAGGGTGCTGAATGGGGGAGTCTAGAGAAAGTCCCTGATCCAGATAAGGGAGTTCAGGAGGGCTTCCTGGAAGAAGTGACTTCAGGAAGCCTAATTCAGTTTGGTGGAGAGTTGGAAGTGTGGCCCAGGCATTGGGGTTTGTTCAGGAACTTAGGGATGGAGAGTGTGTGCTTGTATGGTAGAGGGGGAGGTGCCAGAGATTTGGGGACAACCGAAGGGACTATAGGGCCTTGTTGGTCACATTAAAAAGTTTGGACTTGGGCAGTAGGGAGCCACAGAAATGGCAATACCACTTCTCTGTGTTAAGAGTGTCTTAGACTGTGGCCAAGCGGCTGGACCATGGGGATGGGTTTGAGAGTGTTGGAAGAGGCTGGTTCTCCAGGCAGAGGTGTCCAAGGCAGGCAGGCAGGAATGGCCCAATACCCAGGGAAATGTCAGGTTGTAGGGGAGCCCCATGAGTTTTCTGTGTGGGGAGTAGCCCAATAGAGCGTTTGGGCTGTAGCTTAGGAGAAAGGTGCAGCTGGAGCCTCCCTGAGGTCTAAACCTGCTCTCCTCACCTGCACGACCCACCATTCTGATCTTGCTCATCAAATGTGGGTTTCAATTCTGCAGGTTTGGTTTGGGTGAGGCCTGAGCACCTGCATTTCTAACCAGCTTCCTGTGAGACTGCCATGCTGCCAGGCCACAGACCATGCAGTCTTTGAGTAGCTTGGGCTTAAATGGCAGCAGTTATCATTATAGATGCAAAAGACTTCAGCTCCTGTGGGGTTTTAAAGGACAAATCTATTTTCGCAACTTTATGGGATAGTCAGCCAACAGAGGAGGGGGTTCTTTTCTTAAAATTATTGATTTTAGGGAGAGAGAGTAAAAGAGAAGCATCGATGTGAGAGACGAACATCGATCGCCTCCTGCACGCACCCCAACTGGGGATTGAACCGGCAATCTGTTATGTTCCCTGACCAGGAATCAAACCTGCTACCCTTTGGTGTATGTGAGGACGCTCCAACCAACTGAGCCACAATGGCCTGGGCAGAGGGGATTCTGATGGGGCAGTGTTGCTATTTGGGTACTATGGGTGGGTACTACCTCCTCTCAGACTGTGAGCTCCTTAAGTGTGGTGAGCCGGAGAGCCTCACCCTGCCCCCGAAGCTGCAAAGTGAACATTTGTTAAGAGACTGCTTCCAGGAGAAGATAGTATTCCTGTGAGCTTCAGTGAGGTCCAACTTGGAGACACAGGAAGCTGGGGGGACACATAGAGATGATGGGCTCAGATTCTTCCTTTTTTCCCCTTAATTCTGAGGAAGCAGGAAAATTCACCTCCCAGGGTATGGAGTGAAGGGTGAGGGAGCCCTCCCTTGGCACAGAGGGGCTGCCTGAGGCTGGCGTCCTTGGTAACACTCTAGGTATCACAAATCTGGGGTCCCCAGAGCCCTACAGACACGAGGGAGGGTTCAGCAGGACGGAGTTCGGAGTTTTTGCACTTTGTGTCTGTTTCTGCGTCTCACCTGGGCTTGTGACCTGGGCGCTATTCCACAAGCAGCCTCTGGGTGGCACCAGAGCCCCGGCAGCCCAGCAGGTTGAACCGGTACTTTCACATCATGAATCTTCGCCTGTTGCTGTTTTTCTCCGCCCCTCTCCGCTTTTAAAACTCAGGTTCCAAAGGTGCCGGGAAGTCGTCTGGGCCTTCACCCTCTTCCTGCTGCCCCTCCACTTCTGCGTAGGAGGCAGGTGCGGGGAGGACGTCCAGGATGCTGCCTTCGCCTGGCCTGGGGACCGTGACTCCTTGAAGGCTGGATTTCAGGGAAAATGCATCTGGCAAGGACCCTCCCCTGAACCCTTCCCCCAGCCTGGAGGCTTGAGTGCGGGAGCAGAGCATGGAAACACTATCCAAAGAGCCCTTGAGGAAGGTGATGGTCCCCGGACACCCCTGCCCTCCCTCCCCAACACTGGGCGCCCAGTTAGCGCTCAATAAATGCTATGAATGGATCAATGGTCACCTGAGGCTGGTCTTGAGACATGGGTAGCAGGAACAGTTTCGAAAGGGCTGGGGCACCTCTTTTCTCTCCTGATTGTGTTAGCTCAAACATGTTCCTCTGATTCCTACTTTCCCGACTGCTGTTTGGATTTCCGTTCACCCGGGGACTCTGGGGTGAGCTGAGAAATGGGATTGGGTACCATAGGGTGGCTGTTGGGCTTTGAGAGGTCCCCCCTTTTCTGGCACTTCTGGACACGACCTCTGCTGCCAACACATTGGGCACTTTCTCTCACATTTGGGTATTTGACATGCAATGTAGGTGAATCCCCCACACTGGGCAGTGGGGGCTTGATTTGAGGGGAGAAATGGAGAGACAATTAAACCAAACTTCCCTCCCCCATTGTCCTCACCAAAGAGGCCCTCAGTGAATGTTTACATCACACCACAATGCCTCAGTGACTTGGAGCCATGGAGGCAACGTGCCAGGCCCTTCTAGGTGGGGTCAAGAATGGGACTATGTTGACTATGTCCTGGGGGGTCAGCCAGCCCAGGACTTGCCCAGAGGCACTGTGGAGGCAAATTTGGGTCTGCTCAGGCAAGAGTGGGAGGGATTGCTTAGGTAATCCCTACCCAGGGATTGTGATCCAGTTTTCCTGGGGCGGGGCTACACTCAGAAACCCCCACCACCCGTTTGTCTCCTCCATTACCAGTGCTTGTTTCCCTGGCCTCCAGGGGGCAGCAGGGGGCAAGTGTCCATACACATTTCTTCTCTAAGCCAAGGGGTTGGCCTCCATGCCCAACCCACAGGGTTTCTCTCCCAGGGTTGGCTGGAGGCAGGATTTGAACTTTGCAGGTCCCCTCTGCCCTTGAACTGGGACCTGAGGCCACCCAGGAGGAGAATCAAGGATGGGAGCCTTACCTTGAAGACAGCCTGCTCCCTAGGCTTGGAGGAGACAAAGACACAGAAGGGTGGCCCCAAGGGTCTTCAAATTGAGTTGGGGACAACATCCCAGCCACTGCCAGCTGCTGCAAACTGCTAAGGGCATAAGCCAGAGCTACTGGGGCTTGGACCCAAAGGGCTAGACAAACTGGCATGTCCTGGCAGGGTCAAGGAAGGAGAGATGTAAGGGGTTCCTGATCAGAGTCCCTCCCCTCTGGAATGGAGTCTCCCAGGGTATAAGAAAGCAGTGGGAAGGGTGCACTGCCATGGCCCTAGAATTTGGGTGTGGGAGCCACAGGCAGAGCCACTAGTAAAGGGGTGGGTCTGGTCCACCTGGTGGTGACCAATTTAACAGAGGATCTTTTTCTGTGAAATGGGTTTGATGCAGCACCTGTGGCTGCTTCTGATGCCACCATGGGGGCTGCGCTCAGGCTTGTGTGGGATGAGGTGTGCAGTGACGGCCCTAGGCATCCTGTCTGAATCAGTAACAACCCCCCAGGACTGCCTCCTTCCAGGCTAGGGCTTTAAAGCAGCTTGTCCCATGGAACAGAAAGGGTCACTGAGCACTGAAAACAAACTCTCCAGGTGAGTCCTGTGGCCTTACTACCACACAGATGCTTGTGTGGGTGCCTGAAAAGGCACACACAGCCATATGCTCCTGGGGAACCCCACACACTTGGAAACACACAGGGACTGTCTGACCTGTGTCCCAGCAGTAGCCCTACTGGCCATCCTAGGGAGGATGAGAAGTGAAAGGGGAAAGAAGCAAAGGGAGGTTTGTGGGTGAGACATCAAGGAACCCAAATGCTTCAACCCCCAAACAACAGGTCCTGGGGCCTTGCTATGGAATAATTTATTAATAGTCTTCACAAAATAAATAAAATGGAAATCCAGAGAAAGAAAAACATACAACCAACAAAGGGAGCCTTCTCCTCCAGGAAAGAAACAAATTCTGAACCTGCCATAACCTCAGCTAAGGAGACAAAATTTGCAAATCCAGATAAACACCTGGGTGGCTCTGGGCTCTGCTCCTAGGGCCCCACCCAGCCTCCACCTCCCACTGTAGCCTCAGCCTCTGGAGGAGCAGGTTCCCCTCCATACAGACTCTAGAGGGAGGCTACTGACTCCAGTGGGACCTCCAGGGTTTCCCAGGGGAGGCTGACTTCTAAGTTGGCTGAAGGACAGTTTCTGGGGCCCACCAGGACCTTGGGGCTAACAAAATACCAGGAGCAACATCAGGGACTGAAGGTTTTCCAGCGTCTGCAGAGGGATTGTTACTAGCTTTGTGGCAAGAAATAAGGCATTTCTAGGGGCCAGGGTTTGAACATCCATGGGAGGGGTAGGAACTGCACACATGGTCTCCCAGCTTCCCCATTTGGAAGCATCTACAAATCCCTCCAGGACTGCTCCCCTCGAGGGAGAGTCCCAGCCCCCTTTGATGTGTAGGGCATGGGAGCTTTCCCTGTAGGCTTTGCCTTCCGGTAGTTGAGGCGCTTGAATGCTTCCAGGTCCCGGTGGGCATTCATGATCAGCCGGCTGCACAAAAATGCTGGCATTGACTATGAACCAGAGCAGCAGGACGCACCCCACACTCCTGCTCACACATTCTCACACAGACTCACACACTCATGCACAATCCCAGGTCACATATACACACAGGCTCACACACTCTCACAGGCACATTCACACGTGCACAATCAGAACCAACCTATTACAGCCGTAGCTGGTTTGGCTCCGTAGTTAGAGCATCGGCTCATGGACTAAAGGGTACCAGGTTCAATTCTGGCTAAGGGCACATACCTCAGTTGCAGGCTCAATCCCCAGCCCCAGTCAGGACTCTTTCAGGAGGCAACCAACTAATGTGTCTCTCACATCAATGTTTCTCTCTCTCTTTCCCCTTCTACTCTCTCTGGAAAGCAATGGAAAAAATATCCTCAGGTGAGGATTGAAAAAACAAAATAATCAACCTGTTACAGAGTAGACTATTGACTGTCCCCGCCCCTCTCCAGAACCTAACAATTCTATAAAGGATGGGTCTATGACATAATAGGTGAGGGCTCAGGAGGAGTGACACTTTCTGGGGGCCCTTTGNGATGGGTCTATGACATAATAGGTGAGGGCTCAGGAGGAGTGACACTTTCTGGGTGGCCTCTGGGTAGCTTGGGCTGCTGAGGGGGGGTCTCCTTGCTGCCCCACTGGTTTCCCCCAACCCAATCCTTCCTAGGCCCCATCCCACTGCCTGTCCATCCCCTCTTACTTACTTCAGGTTGGAGAGCTCAATAATGAGGCCACGCACAGTATCTGTTGCATCCTCCATCCTGGTGGCTTCACAGGGCTTGATCCCCTTGTGGGTACTGGAGGGAAAGGAAGACAAGAGGCCTGACCTCAACAGACAACTCCACCAAATAACATTCTGGGGAGCTTTCGCTGGGCCTTCAGCTGTCTGCTTTTTCAGATATTAAGCTACCATGGGGCAGACCTCTGATGGCCTACCCAGCTGGATCGACTGCCAAAAGCACACCCAGAATCCAGTCCCTTCTCCCCACCCATGCTCCCCAGACCCCCAGCTCCTGTCCCTATAGCTTGTCTCCCATGCAGCATGGGGTGGAGGGCTGTGAAAATGGAAACCTGGCTCACTGTACCATCTGCTGGCACCTCTAGGCCCCATCTCCTCCCTCCTGTCCCCCTGCTCCCAGCTCCAGCCACACTGAATTCCTGGCCTTTCCCTGAGCACCTCTTAAGGTTCTGGAATGTTCTCTCCCAAATGTCTCCTCCTTGGGGCAGTGGGGAGGGGGCGGGGAATCTGGACTTTCCTGATCATTGAGTTAAAATGTTAACCCCTTCCCCACTGACTTTTTCTCCCAACACTCTGCCATCTGATTATCTAATTTGCTTGTCTCTCACTCACCCTGCCTGCCCCGCCCAACATACACTAGATTGTAGCTGCATGTTTTGTCCTGTCCCACACTGCTTGCCCAGTGTCCAGAGCAGTTCCTGTAAGAGCTAGCACTGGATGGCGTTAACCTCTATGGGAGGGGTGGATGTGCCACAGCACCCACTGTATCTAACGTGTGGCCTGCGGATGCTGGCAGAGGGTCATCCTCCTGGCCTCTAGTCAACAGCTCTCCCCAAACCCTACCACACCCTGGGCTTGGCAACACCTCCTGGGTTGTCACTATGGAATCTCTGTTCTGCTCCACCTTCCATGGTCACCCAAGATGGCTGGCTGACCCAGGCCTTAGCTTCTTTTGTGTCTTACCCACCATGGGCCATCAACCCCAGGACCTGCCCTGTGGGTCTTCCAGATGTCCATGTGGGGTCGCATCGCCCAGTGAGGACATCAGAGATTCAGACATGATTTTCCCTCCTCTTTGCTCAAACAATGGTGGGGCCACTTTAACTAAACTGCCTCTGGTCCTTGTTCAGGGCGTGTGTGTGTGTGCACGCATACACACACAAGTGGAACAGGTACTAGTGACAGGGCTTGTGCAAGGGAAGAAGGCAAAAACTCTCCACCTTATACCTTGAGGAGGAGGATAGGGAGGAACAGAAAAACTCGCAGAGTGCTGTCCCTCCTCCACACTTGCTAGACAGAAACAGAATCTTGGCCATAAATAATTGATAAGACACCGCCTCTGCGGAGAGGCCTGCTCAAGTACAAGGTAACACAGACGATGGTCACCCAGTGCTTGCTCCTGGCAGGGCTGGGAGAAAGGACAGGAGAGAGATGACAGACTGTGAGAGGCCCTGGGGTAAGGGGAGAGGACACCCACAATCCCCACATGCACACTGCTTGGGTGTAGGGACAGTGTACCCAGTGGCCTGCCCTGGGGCACAGAGCCAAGTGGGAAATGAGGAGACAAGCCAGGTCAGAGACCCTGGAGGCCCCACCCTGTGCTAGTACTGGGACCGCCCAAGATCAGCTGGGCCAATGGTTCTTAGCTATCCCACTCCGAGGAGATTCAGGCGAAGTTTTGGGCCCTCTCCAGAAAAATGCACATGTTGAATTCAAATAACCAGCAGAATCAGGGGCACCACCCCAGGGTCCCGGGGAGAGACGCTTGTTTGGGTGCAGATGGCTGGTGACCAGTTCTCCACCTGCAGGGAGCCAGGGACACACACAGTTTGAAAGACAGGGCTCAGCTCCCTTACTGGACTGAGAAAATTGAGGCCCAGTGACGGAGAGCCAGGGCCCCCTCACCCCCTCATCAGCAAAATGGGAGCTCACAGGGCTAGGGGGAGCTCCAGTGCCAGGGAAGCAGTGACACTCCCCTCCCAAGGGAGGACTCCCACCGAGATGAGGGTCCTGGGGTGTCCTTCCACCTGGCCTACCTTGGCTGAGCCTCAGTGAGGGGGCTTCCATCAATACCTACGCTGGTGCCAGGCCAGCAAAGGCCCACCCTGCTCCCCGCAGGAAACAACTGGAAAGAGAGAGCACACGTGTGAATAGTTAGCTGTGTGAGCCCTGCACAGGGAAGGGGAAGACATACAGGAAACATCTCACTTCCCCTTGGCCACACCAGGAACACTGAGGCTGGAGCTCCTACAGAAGAAAAGTGATAGTTATACCTGGGGGCCACCAGCCTGGGCTGCTCTTGCCATCCCCCCCTCAGAAAGAGAGCCGACAGGGTAACCACTGGGTCTGACTCTGCTGTCCTCTCCTGGGCCCACACCTTCCAACAAGCTGCTCTATGCCTGGAGGTGGATCCATCTACACATTCTCTATACATCTTGCAATATCTAGAAGGGTACAGAGAAGACCCCAAGGGGTGGTAACTATAACAAGGTGAGCAATGATGTCAAGGGAAGAGGATGGCCAGATAAGCCACATACTTTTTGTATGTCAGGAAAAGATTTTGCAAATATATTGCGAAGGAAAAATTCATAAGTAAAAGGGAGAAAGCCAAATAATCTTGATAAGCTCAAGTTTCTAAATGTCAACAGTGGTTCAATTTTTGTGGGAAAACGTCAAGCTCAATCATGGAGGTGACAGACATCCCATGGGAAGAGGAAAAAGGGTTAAAAGGTGGTGGTGGGGGGGGGCAGCCTGCCCAGGACCTCTTCTAAGGAGACCAAAGTCCTGGGATTGGAAAGGAGCCTGTTCTAGGGACATCCTCTCCCCTAATGGGGTGGGGGATGGGGTGAAGGGCTGAGCTACACTAGCAAACAGGTACCCGAACCACACAAAAAACTGCCTGTAGCCCAACAGTTCTCACCTAGGGATGACTCCATCCCCAGGAGACACTTCACAATGTCTGGGGACATTTTTGGTTGTCACAACTAGGGGAGAAGATGCTACTGGCATCTGGTGGGCGGAGGCCAGAGATGTTGCTCAACGCACTACAGTGCACAGGACAATCCCTACCAGAGAACAATCTGGCCCTGGACACCAGCAATGCCAGCTGGGGTCTCTGCTGCAGACAATACCATGAGTGTCTCCCAGCATCTGGCTATTTCATGTAGGCAACTCTGACTTAAAAGATAATCAGTGTCACATATTCACCAAACTCACTGCACTGTTCCTGGCCATGAGGAATATTCTCCCTCCCACCAGAGCTGTATAAATGTTTGTACAAAAGTGGTCCTGAACGTGCCAGGGTCAGAGTTGTAGGCCCCTGAAAGGCCCCTAGGAACCAGCTTTTAAAATGATACTTCTTAAGTATTATAGGGAGGCTCTACCAGCTCTGGGGTATCATGTCCCAAGGGAGCTGTTTTGAGAAGAAAACACCAATTTTCCTGTGAGGGGACCTGGGTTTGAAACTGGTCAGTCACCACTGTGTAACCTCTGAGTCTCCAAGTGGCTTCATCTAAAGTGGTGCTCATGGTTGTATGTGGTAAGGCTCAGGGCCGGATGGTGGGAGGCTGTGCTGCTGCTCTCCATCCATCTGTGCTCTGTTCCCAAGTGTCCCTGCCCACTTGGCCTTCCTGCCGAGGGCCATCAGAATCTTCCCATGGGAATCTGCTTGTGCCTGGGTCATCCCAACTTGTTTAGGAACACCCAAAATCAAAACAAAACTTGTCCAGGCATTGGCAGCCTTGTCAAGGCAGTACCTACTCCCCTGGGGGACCTGTCAGGTCTGACCACCTGGCTGGCTGCCTAGGTCCTCCGCACTGCTGATTCCCTGGTGCTTTCCAAGTGTAGTCACTGGCAGCCTGTCTGGAAGGGCTCACTCTTTTGCCTGCTGGATGCCACCAAATGTCCCAATTGTTTCCTCAACCTTCTCCCTAAGCCACTGCCCAAGAGGCCAGAGATTGGGAGTAACTTAGCCAACATTTCTTTCTGAGTGAGTTTGCATTTCTCAAGAAACAAGGCTCAAATTCTAAAATTTCAGCTGTTCCCAGCACCTGAACGCCTACCTATCCAGATCATGTTCCAACTCTGCACTGTGACCTACTTTCCATGATCTTGCTCATCTGGCGATCATGAAACAGGGGCATGAGGAGCCAGGGCCCGCAGGGAGAAGGGAGTCCAGGTAGGTGAACATTGTGGAAGGCCAAAAACAACCCCTGGGAAGGCAGTGCAGTGGAGGCCTGCATTTGCTCAACTCAGCCACGCTCCCCTCACACTCATAACAGCTGGCTTTCTTCAGCTGGGCACCAGATGAGGTCATTTGCTTGTTTTGGAGCTGTGTCACATGAAGATTCTTTAAGTTCCGAAATGATAGGGTACAAAAATGCTCACTTTGGGAAAGGCAGGAGGGAACAGTGCTACGGAAAACCTCAGGGGGGCAGGCACCACGCCTGATGTTTTCATGCCTGGCATAAGCAGGCTTTTGACAAGCATGTATTGAATAAATTTTTGAAAAACATCTTAACAAGGGCAGCTGAAAAAACAGGCCAACATTTGTAAAGGGAGTTGGGAGCCACATTCTCGGATGGGGTGGCTGAGGAGCAGCTGTAGAATCAGGAAAATCTGGACGCAGACCCAGCCTCCTCCACTCCTAGCTGTGTCACCACTGGCAGGTGCCCAACTTCCTTCAGCCTCTCTTCCTCACCCAGTGTGTGGAAAGAGAACTGAGAACCACCTACCTCCACTGCAAAGCACTTAGCCCAGGCTCAGGTATGGGACATGGAGCCTCCCCTGGGAGCGGGGCTAAAGCAAGGCTGCCACCTGCCTTGATGGGTGAACGCCATGACTGGCAGAGGCTCACTGGGCAGCTTTCCCACTTCCTGTCATGCAGGCAGCTCCCTGAAGGAAGCAAAGTCCCTACAAATTCCAGCAGAAAAAATTCCATACATATGTTTGGGACAGGGTCCTCATGGAAAAGCAAGTCTTCCCTGTCTGAAAAATCACACATACCCCAAACCCACTGAAGCTGTAACTCAGACTCCCTAGACTCATCTGCCATATAAACAGACCACCACACATCCCATCTTCCCCCACCAATGGGCGGTTTGGATGAGGGCCTGTGGACACTGGTGCCTGCCCTGGGATGGTCTAGCTGTAACTTAATGCTCTTACCTGCTCAGGTGGGGCTTCAAAGTTGGGGGCTTCCAGGGCATCCTGTATCTGGCTGTCTGGCAGGAAGTAGAGTTCCATGGCTGGGGACCCCCCCAACATGGCCTGGTCTGTAGGGTCAGGAGGATGTTTGGGCTGGCCTGAAGGGCCTAGGGGGATGTCTGCGCTGCCCTGCTGGGCTCTGGCATCCTGAGGAGGACCAGCCACTGCTTCTCTGTGCAGTGGCAGAACAGAGGCTCCAAGGGACAGATCAAGCTTCCTGAAGTCTTGTTCAGCTGCCTTTTCACCCAAGGGCTGTGACAACAGAGGCAGCACACATACACCTCCCAGCCCTTCTTGTCCCAGGCCTGGTACCTGTGTCTGATCAACAACTGGGCCCATTTCTGAGGCTACAGGACTGGAGTCTCCAGCATCTATTGTGGGCTCTTGAATCCCATGAGCCAGAACCAGGGACACTGCAGGGCTCCTGGGGACATCACCAGGGGGCATGGCTTCCCACCCTGCCTCCCCTCTGCCTCCTGTGGTCTCCCCAGCGAGAGGCATGCCCCTGAGCAGGGCCCTGTTAAGGACTCCATCAGGGACCTTCCTGCTGGGAGAGGCAGGTGCCCCGGTGTTAGCCTTCCCATCTGGTCCAGCCACCTCCAGAGCCCTCTGTTCTAGCTTGGTGAGGTCTGTGATCATATCTGTGATGACACTGGTCCTAAAGGAGGAGTGTCTTGGGCTGCTACAGCTCCCTTCTGCTTCCCTGCCAACCCTGCTGAGTGTCTGCATGGGGTCAGGTGGGGCCTGGACTGCAGATCTAGGCTCTGAGCCCTGAGTGGCCAGGCCCAGGATGCTGTCTCCTTTCTCCTGGTCAGCCCCTGCTACCCATTGGGCGCCTTCCTCCTGTGGGGTTCCTTGGTCTGGCTCCTTCTCTTCAGCACCACTGCTTGGCAGATGCCCTTTCTGGCCACCTGGAATCCCACCCCTCCCTGTGCTTCCAGTGTCTGGCAAGTTGGTCCCTTGCTCCAACAGATAGTTCTGGCTGGTGCTCTCTGAGGCCAAGGGCACCATCCTCCATTCTGGAGAAACACCACTGGAGACCTCAGGCTGAGAATCCCCCAAGCTGGACATAGGTGTTACAGGGTTTTGGACGCTGTGCTCAGAGCAGGTGCCATCTGCCTGGGTCTGGTCTCCTGGCTCCCTGGCCTCCCAGACAGTGAGCTCTGGGGACTCCTCCCATGACTGGCTTCCTGCCTGCTGGGCACTGGTTTCTGGTGGTGTCTCCTGTATAGAGAGAAAGAAAGCCTCAGGCCTTCAATAATCAACCACCCTGAAGATTTTTCTAGTTGTTACTGCCCCTGTACAAAGTCTCAGATGCTGTGTGGATGACTGAAGGGATCAATACAGTAGTCCTCCCTTATCTGTAGGGGATACGTTCCAAGACTCCCAGTGGACGCCTGAAACGGCAGATAGTACCAAACCCTATATATACTATGTTTTTTCCTAGCCATATATACCTATGATAAAGTTTAATTTTTAAATTAGGCACAGTAAGAGATTAACAATAATTAATAATAAAATAGGTCAATTATAACAGTATACTGTAATAAAAGTTGTGTGAATGGCTTTGGGGCTATTACTGAGTAAAATAAGGGTTACTTGAATACAAGCACTGTGATAACACAGCAGTCAATCTGATAATCAAGAAGGCTTTTAAGTGACTAATAGGAGGGGAGCATATGTAGGTTGGAGTCACTGGACAAAGGGACGATTCACGTCCCAGGCAGGACAGCATGTGATTTCATCACACTACTCAGAGCAGCATGCAATTTAAAACTTATGAATTGTTTATTTCTGGAATTTTCTATTTAATATTTTTGGACAGTGGTTGACTACAGGTAACTAAAACCACAGACAGTGAAAGTATGGGTAAGAGGGGACTACTGTCTCTTGTGCTCCTTATCCAGTTCAGGGCAGAGCTTTGTGCCAGGGGCTGAAGGGGTAACCAGAAGCACAGGAATCCTTCCTTCCAACAGCCCCTTCTCCCCACCAGCACCAGGCATGTGGAGATCAAGGATATAAAAATCAAGGGCACCTGTGGACCACACCAACGTCAAATGCCTGGACTGGAGACGAACCATATTTATTTAAGATGTTACCACTGTGCCATCAGCTCTCCCTTCAAACTGAACTGCAAATAAATTCAATACCTAGGGATTGAGGTATGCATCTAGGGTGCTTACAGACGGCAGCTGCTCCCCTACTTTTTTTGTACACTTAGCGCTGGGGAGAGACGCCTTCTCAATTATCTCCCTGCACCTTAAGGTCAACCTTTCTGAGAGGGTCTGCATTGCAATGCCAGACCTGAAGGTCACAGCATGTCAATAGGTCTTCAATGAAGACACTGGCAACCAGACTGCTGAGTTACACGCAGCCTTTTCAGCATTGACGGCAAAGGTATCACTCCTTATTTTTTTCTTTTTATTAATCTTCACTCAAATACATTTTTTCCACTGCCCTTTAGAGAAACTGGAAGGGAGGGAGGGGGAGAGCAGAGAGAGAGAGAGATAGACATCGATGTGAGAGAGACACATCAATTGGTTGCCTCCCACACATGCCCTGACCAGGTGGGCCAGGGATCAAACCTGCAACCCCAGTACATGCCCTTGACCAGGGATTCGAAACCACGACCCTTCAGTGTATGGACGGACACTCTAACCACTGAGCCACACCGGCCAGGGCATCCCTCCTTTTTCACAATTAAACTTTTGTAAGATCACTGTAAGTTCTTGTGTAATTGTGAGAAATAATGTGAAAAGATCCCTTGTGCTCCTTACCCAGTTTGCCCCAGTGGTAACATCTTACATTAACAAAAGTATAGTGTCACAACCAGGATGTTGAAATTGATAAAGTAACCAACCTTATTCAGCTCTCCCATTTGTATATGTGTATTAAGTTCTACACTCTTCTCTCACTGGTGGAGGCTGTGTACCCACCATGACAGTTAAGATACTGAAAAGTGCAAAACAAAGATTCCCAGTGCTGCTATTTGCAGCCAAAATCACCTCTCTCCCATGTTGCCCACCCCATCTCCAACCCCTGGCAACCACTAGTCCACCCAACATGTCCATGTCCATGATTCTGTCATTTCAATAATGTTCTGTAAATAGAATCTCTATAACCTTTTTGGGATTGGCTTTTCCTGCTCCACCTAACACTCGAGATCTATTCATGTGGTTGCCTATGTCACTATTTTGCTCCTTTTTTATTGCTAAGTTGTGTGCATGGTATAGATAGACTATGGTTTGTTTAACCATTCACCAGTTGAAAGGTTATCAAGGGTGTTCCTGACTAGGGGTGATTACAAACACAGCTGCTGGGCATTCCCACCATGCACTTTTTTTTTTTTTTTTTTTTTAAATACGGCTTTATTGATTTCAGAGAGAGGGAGAGGAAGAGAGAGATGGAAACATCAATGATGAGAAAGTCATTGGTTGGCTGCCTCCTGCAAGCCCTCGACTGGGGATTTAGCCTGCAACCTGGGCATGTGCCCTGACCTGGAATCGAACCTTGATCTCTTGGATTATGGGTTGATGCTCAACTGCTCAGCCATGCCAGCTGGGCCCACCACTCACCTCTTTTACAGGCATGTGTTACCAGACATGGTCAGCCTTGGAGCTCACAGTGGCAAGGACAAGAAAGTACACTGTAGGACCCCCCACAGCCCCAACTTGCACAAAGCTTCTGAGAAGCAAAGGGGTTCAGGGACAGAACATGAGTTGCCTTTCTGAGTTTTCTTTTTTTTTTAATCCTCACCCAAGGAAGTTTTTATTGATTTCTAGAGAGAGAGAAGGGGGGGAGAGGGAGAGAGAGAGAAACATTGATTGGTTGCCTCCCACATGTGCCCTGACTGGGGATCCAACCCACAAACTAGGTATGTGCCCTGACCGAGACGACACTCCAACCAACTGAGCAACCCGGTGAGGGCTGTCTCTCTAAATTTTCCAATTCTCATGCAATGTGGGCAAGAGGGCTCTGGCCTCCAGCACTTTGGTATAGGCACAGCTGTCCTGAGTGCCTCTCACAGGCCTGCAAGCTGCCTGCATAGTATCTGCAGTTCAGAGACATCTGTAGTGCAATATGATGAAAATGGGGTGTGGAGATGTGCAGATCTAGCCATTGCCAAAGAAAACCAAGGTTAAACTCAGCTGCCAGGGCTGGGCCAAAAATGCCCACCTATGGGGCTCAGCCTGCTGATTTTAGGGCCTTACCGAGCTAAAGGCCCCACTCCCAAGGTCCTCTTCCCTCATAGCTGCTAGTCTTGTCACTGCCTTCCTGGGTTTTGCAAACTGGGGAACAAACCTCCTGACTGAGTTCTGTGAACCAGACACAACAAGAACAAAGCAGCAATAAATACAAGCGAAGAATGAGGTCTAAGAAAGAAACCAAACAAATCAAAACCTGTTTCTTTCACATTGTCTCAAACATGGCCTTTGCCCCCTATCCCCAGGGCAAACCAGCCCCTGTTGGCCATGAGGTTGAAGAGGCAGGAACTCCAGCCTAAGGGAGGCAGCTTCTTTTTGCACACATGGAAAGCTACAAAACAGGCTCACCTGGAAAGGAGGAAAGGGAATTGGCTCCTTTTCTGGTTGCGAGAGGAGCCTGGAGGGAGCTTCTGCTTCCTTATCCAGAGAGCTGGGTAGAGAAAGACAAAACAAGAGGTTCTGAAGTCATCCAAGGCTTTCAATGCACCTAGTGGGACAGAGAATGAAGTCCAAAGGCAAAGTAGTGCTCAGAATCTCCTAGAAGGGAGGCCCTGAAGCACCTGCTGAGAGAGGGTGGGATGGAGGAGGTGAGCAGTATGCTGGGGAACATTTTACTCCAAGAAGAGTGCTGAGTCCCACATCTAGAATCCAAACTTCCTGCTGTGGGTGCACTTGACCCTTATAATCCCAGTAATTGGTTCCTCAAATAAGACCAGGAATTCTCATTTGCACTAACACTCCCGCCCCCAGCTCTGCAAATTCCAAGGGAATTTGTATATATGAGAAACAGTGTCAAAAGAACCAGGTGTACTCATAATTGCCAAAATGTGGAAGCCAACAAGATGGTCTTCAGTGGGTAAAAGAATAAATAAACTGTGATACATCCAGACAATGGAATATTATTCAGCACTAAAAAGAAATGAGCCCTGGCCACATGGGTCAGTTGGTTGGAGCCTTGTCCCATGCAGCAAAAGGTTTCAGGTTCGATTCCCAGTTGGGGCACAAACCTGGACTGCAGGTTTGATCCCTAGTTGGGGAGTGTACAGGACACAACCAATCGATGTTTCTCTCTCTAAAATCAATAAACATATCCTTGGGTGAGGGTAAAAAAATAAAAATAAATAAATGAGCTATCAAGTCATGAAAAGACATAGAGGAAACTAAGTGCATATTACTAAGTAAAAGAAGTCAATCTGAAAGGCCATGTACTGTATGATTCCAAATACACAACATTCTGGAAAAGGCAAACTATGGAGATGGTAAAAAGACTAGTGGTTGCCAGGGTCAGGGGAAGAGATGAACAGGCAGAGCACAGGAGACTTTTAGGGTAGTGAAAATACTCTGTATGATACTATAGTGATGGATACATGTCATTATACATTTGTCCAAACCCATAGGCTATACAACACCAAGAGTGAACTCTAAGGTAAACTATGTAGGTTCATCTTTGATTAAAAAAATAAAAAGTGCCATTCTGGTGAGTGATGGTGATAATGGGGGAGGCTATGCCTGTGTAAGGGCAAGGGATATGTGAGGGATTTCTCTCTTCCTCTCAAATTTATTGTAAACCTAAAACTGTTCTAAAAATAAAATATATTTTTTTATATCCTTGCCCAAGGATATGTGTTTTATTGGTCTGAGAGAGAAGAAAGGGGAGAGAGAGAAAGAGAGAGAAACATCGATCGGTTGTCTCCCATACACGCCGTGAACCAGGAGTCTAGATACTGATAGCAAGAGCCTGTTAGAAAACTTCAATTGGGATGGGTTGTTTGGGCGGCTTCTGGAGTGCTGGCAAGATTTCATTTCTCAACGTAAATGTGTTAAGCTTGTTTGCTTTATGTTTTCTTCCGTTATATTTCTGGGCACACGGTATTTCTTAGTAAAACATTTAAGAAACAAAAAAAGAAAAAAAATGGTGGGAACCTGCTTCTGGGCTTCTGACTATTCTTATGGACAGCAGATGGCTCAACCTCATCAGCCCTGCCCTGTTGACCTCTCAGGAATAAGGAGCACTGTGACATTGCTGTTCCTGGGAAAAATGGCTTAGATGTGACATGTGGACCCTCTCTTCATATCACACACAGAGCAGGGCTGCCTTTAATCCTAAAACTGCAATGACCTGAGATCAGACACATATACACATGCATACTAGAAAACAATTCTGTCAGATCACATGCCTTAATATTTTACTCAGAAAATTTGGTAGTCCAATCCATGACACATTCGCTGAAGACTTCAGGTAGTAAGAACCTTCCTTCTAATTCATGCCAACCCTTTTTACTTTGCTATAGTTAGTTACACGTGGTTTAACACAGTGGACAGACTAAACTCTTCTCTAGATCTTTTTTTCCCACCCCCACCCCCTTGCTGAAAAATAAAATAAGAGAACTGGGAAACCATTGTAGTTAGGAGCACAGGGGCAAATACAGCCAGAACCCCAGCCTGCCTTGCACCAGCTCAGTAGCCTTGGCAAGTCATTTGATCTCTTGAAGCCTAGAGTCCTTATCTGTTAAATGGGGATAAAGGCCTATTTCAAAGTGCTATGAGGCTAAAATGAACTGTATGTGTTGTTTTTATTCTTTTAAAAAAATGTTTTTATTGACTTGTGAGAGAGGAAGGGAGAGGGGGAGAGAGATAGAAACATCGATTGGCTGCCTCCTGCACCATCGATCAAGCCACAACTTGGGCATGTGCCCTGACTGGGAGTCAAACTGGTGACCTCCTGGTGCATGGGATGATGCTCAACCAACTGAGCCACACTGGCCAGGGCCTTTGATACCTTTTTTATCACAAAGGAATGTGGGGTAAATATAGATTTGACCAGCAGAAAGGACAAGCTACGTTCTATAACTAAGTGACTTTGAAAAATTCAAGGTTTTTCTTGCCAGTGGTTATAACATTGACCTTTCTTGATAGAGAGGAGAGTCCCAGGGAGGAAAGCACAATCAAAGGGCTCTGAGTCCCCAGGAAGAGGCATGACATTGGACAGGTCATGTTGATCCCCTTCCTTTTGCACCCTGTTCATTGGGTTGCTGCGCTGTGCCCACTGTCAATAGGGAGGTACTGAAAATGTTCTGAGCCACCTACCTGGAGGACACCTGTCCTGGCTCCTCCCCACTCTGCTCTGCAGAGGAAGCAGGTCCTGATCTGCCTTTTGACTCTTCAGGGTGACACAAGGGGCCCAAGCTGAAACTCTGGGGGGCCCCATTAGAGTCTTTGAGTCTTGGGTTCTTTGGGGGTTTCGATGGATGAATTCCTTCTGGTTTAGAGACAAAGGAAGACAAAAGGGTAGGAGATGCCAAGAGCATGCACTTCCATGGCTGGCAACCAAACCTGGCAGGGCCACTGCTGCAATGTGAGCAGGTTTGTTCCAAGGTCAGGAAACCCCTGACCTTTCCTGGAAAGCAAGAGATGGGATAGAACCTTATCCAGGTGGGACCTAGGAGTTTATGTGGCTACAGGATTCAAAAGCTTTGTACCTATGGACTGGTTGTGACTGAGGCTGAATCCTGAGGTGGTCTGGCTGGGCTCCAAACCACAGAAGACAACCTGACCCGGCTCACTGTTTTTCTGGGGAAGTGGTAAGAGGTGTGTATTAGCTCCTTCGGGTCTCAGTTGAAACATCTCTGCAGAGGGACCATACCCTGACTTTGCTATAGAGTCTTCCCATGCTGTTTTGTTGACTTCAAAGCATTTCTGCAAGTATCAATGTACTGGGTCACTTCTGTCTTGCCCACTGCAAATTGCTCCCTGCAAGGAGGGGCCTTGCGTATCTCACTCTCTGCTGAGTCTCAAGTGCCTAGAAGACCATCTAGTTCACTATCACTGATCAATAAATAATTGGTAGATGACTGAATAAACATGTAGAAAATCAGATCACTTCCCAGGAAAGGCAAATACAACTAAATTGTGTACCACTCTAGTTTCCTGTGATGCCTGAAGAATATCCACCCTGGGAAAACTTGGACCCAATGTCATTAAGTGCTAAGGAACTGATGTCTCAGCTGCCACTTAATTCCTTGTATCTCCGCAGTACCTTCCCCATCACTGAGAGCAATTTAGAGCCTAAAGGTGTTTATTATCATATACTTGTTGGATGAAGGAAATTCACTTACACAAAAATTGTCATTAGTGGCTGGCTTGTGAAGCCTCTCCAATTTATTCAATGAACAAATAAGGGTGATTCTAGTGAGCTCCATGCCAGACACTGTCTTAAGAACTTGGGTGTATTATAAAACTTCAAGACAGGGTCCCGTTGTTATGCCCATTTTACAGATGAGAAAGCCCAGGCACCTGGAGGCCAAGGAATCTAGAATGGGGTCCAGGCATCCAACCCCAAAGTCTACACACTCTGAGTGCCTACTATGCATTATTGAGTGCCTACTATGTACTGTGCTTCTAACCAGGCAGTGAGGACAAAATGACAAACCAGATACAGGCCTAATTTTCCTGGACTTCAGTCATGTAGATCCTTTCCAATCTCGGCTCTTTACACCCATTGAATAAACCCCCCTTCCTCTCAATGCCAATTGCTAAGGTATGCCTCAGCATTCACTCAACTGTTTGCACTCCACTAGACCACAGCAACTTTCCTGTAATTTCTTCTAATTCTGTGAGTTATGGTTCATGTGTGCCCATTCAGAACTATAACCAACTGCTGTGTATTTGATTAGCTCTCTCCATGAGAAGCATTTTTCTTTTTTCCTTGACTTGACCTTGAGGGTGTGGAGGGGAGGAACTAAGTCTGCTGTACCCTTTGATCTCATCCTTGCCCTGCCTCCCACTCCTCTTCTCAGGTGCCCACCTCAATGCTGCACCCAGAGCAAGGCTCCAATGAGTTTCTTACACAAACATATTCCTACTTTGTGGTCTGTCAGAAAACACAAAATACAGCAGCTTCATTTAAGATGTCCAAACATTAGCTTGCTTTGCTAATCCAATGGACATTTATACCAAGTAAGAAACAAAAATATCAACAGAAGTGAAGAGCCTCCCATTTCCTTCCTCTGACCTGTTCCCACAGGACTAATATAAGAAAAACTGAGGCAGAACCTTGTTTTCAACACCAAAGGCCAAAAAGACGTTGGAAGGGAAAGGGCTTCTTTCACCATCTACCAGAATTGTCTTCCTCTCTCCCTACCCCATCCAGGGCATACAGAAACATCTGTCCTGGGCCAGCCTAGGGGTTTAATGAGCTGGGGAGTCCACAGCCAAGAGAGGCCCCAAATGACTTGCTGTGGGTGGGCTTGGCTGTCCCCAGCTTCCCCCTCTGAGGTCAGAGAAATTCTTGTGTCTCCAAGCAGCCTGTTGTTCATCTCTACATAAAATATTTCAATCTGTTGATAATTTATTTTCAGTTCCAGATTTTGAGGGGGGAAAAATGAGTCCTACTACTTAAGTTCATTAAGCACTAAGTAAAGAAGTAATTGCTAAACTTTTAAGAAGTTTGAGTTACCTTATCAGGGGTGGGAAATGTCTGGCCCTGGTCTGGCCCTGCCAAGGCAACCTTAGGTGGGACTCAAAATTCAATAAACCTAGGAGCTTTTTTCATAGCTAATTTTTAAGTTGATAATTTTGTACGGCCCATGAATGATGTTATGAATATCCAAATGGCTCTTGGCAGAAAAAAGGTTCCCCACCTCTATTAGATAACAGACAGGGAAATAGAACTACACTATGTCATACTGTATGCTTCTTTTCGAATGAGAAAATTCTATGTGTATATGGACAAGTGAAAATGGTCTCAATATACTGTAAAATGAAGGTTGCATATCAATGTGTAATGATTCTATCTTCCAATAAAAACACTATATTTTTGTACATGAAGAAAAAGTTTGGAAGAAGTAGTGTACTCAGGTTCATTTCCTGTTGTTTTTTTAATCTTCACCCAAGGCTATATTTTTATTGATTTTTAGAGAGAGAGGAAGGGGAGGAGAGAGAAACATCAATCAGTTGCCTTTCATACCCGCCCAGAATGGGGACTGAACCCACAACTAAGGTATGTGCCCTGACCAGGAACTGAACCCTCAATCTTTTGGTGTTTGGGACGACACTCCAACCAACTGAGTCACCTGGCCAGGGCATTTTCTGTTTTGTTTTGTCTTTTATGCTGTACTATATGATTGACCTTGTACTGTGGTTTTGCTGGATGTTAACATTAGGGGAATAAAGTCTGGAAGGACAATCATAATAGCAGCATATATTTGTGTACTACCTAGGGTCTCTTCTTGGTGCTTTACAAATACTAATCCACATCTGAGCTCTAGGGCATGGTTCTCAACCTTGGCACTACTAACATTTGAGGCACTATTGACATTTGGGGTTGGATCATTCTGTGTTGTGGGGGCTGTCCTGCACATTCTATGATTTTGAGCAGCATCCTGGCCTAGACCCACTAAATGCCAGTCCCACCCCTCCCACACACACCAATTGTGAAAACCAAAAATGTCTCTAGATATTGTCAAATATCCTCTGGAGGGCAAATTCCTCCCCACACCAGGTTGAGAATCACTGTTCTAAAAAAAGGAGAGGTGCTCTTATTATCCCCTATTTGCAGAAGGGGGAAAGTGAGGCATAGAGTAAGTCATCTGCCATCACAGTGAGCAGCAGAGTTGGGAGGAATCCAGGTTTTTGTTTTGACAGTGAAGCACTTAGCCACACACCAGATGGCCTTTCAACACATCAAACTCTATTCAGGAGTAGTCTCTGAGAGAGGCTTGCATGGAGTTTGCACCCCTGCCCCAAAGACTGGGGCCCTCCCCTCAGCTGTGGACTCCACCAGAGGCTGGAGGAAGCTCCACAAAGCTTTTACTTTCTACTATATGCACCCCTCCATAATTTATACTTTTTTTACTAGCAGGTGTAAAATCATTTTTTAAGGGAGCTTGGTGTGGTCATTTTAGCATTTCTGCAACAAATAAGCCCAAATTCCTCCTAAGAGCAGAAAGAGCAAAAAAGAAATCAACTTGAATGCCCAAATACCTGAAGTCCGTCGAAACTTCTTCCTCTTACTCATTTTACCCCTCCCTTGAGAAATCTGAAAATGAACAAAATTCCATCATTACAAGCAGCATTGTCCCTGGGTACATAACACCCAGTGACATTTGCTGAGGGCAGAAGCCACCCCATCCCCCACTTTGGCCCATGTGGCTGCCCTAAGGGGTCAGTTAGGCCCCAAGAAGACTCAGGTTGGGAGGCACAGCAACCTTGGGCCATGGCTGGGGAAGAACTCAAGCCTCCTCCATACTGCAGAGGGCAGAGAGGGATCTTCTGCCAAGGATCTGAGAGCTCATGGGTGGGGGTGGGGATGGGGATGTCCTCAGTGGGAAATCTTGGGGACTCTGGTTTCTAGTCCCTAAATTGGGGCAGCCTGCGTGAAGCCCCTCCCTCCAGGCTGGGGGTCTCTGGGAACCTTCTAGAGACACCCGAAGGCTTTGGAGGGGACATGGGGAGTCCTTCAAAGTCACTTGGTGGCTTTAGTAGGCCCATCTGGGGCACTTCAAGGGTTGGAGGTGGGGCCTTTGGGGGGGCGCACCTGGGGTCTTAAAAGGGGCAGGAGTTGCCACAGGGAATTCCTTCCAGCCTTGGGGGCCCGGACAAGCCCAAACTGACCTGAGCCAGAGAAGTTGTTGAGGTCCCTCTGTCCTTATCAGGAACTGGGTAGGTCTGCTTGGAGCTGTTGCGGGATAACTAGGTTAAGTTATATGAGTGAAATATTTTGGAGAAAATAAAAGGTAAGTTCGCCCCCCTCTGAGGCGCGGCAACCCTCTGAGAGGGGCTGGAGCTGAAGGGCCAGGAGGTCTGAGGCCCGAGGGTTGTGAACTGACTTCTGGTAACTAAGCCCACACTAACCCTTCCACGGCCACCGAAACGTGAGGAATGCCCAGAACCCGACAGCCTCGCGGGACGCAGTGAATCTTGCGGCTACTGCCACCCCTCACTTATGGGCACATTCTGCTTCTTTCCCGCGCACTGCGAGACCCAGTCGCGCGCATGCGCTACGCCTGCTTTGCTGCTCACACCCACTCACGCTCCGCCTGTTGCCCGTACCACCGAGGGCGCCACCACCGCCCCGCGTTGCGCATGCGCGGTCACGCACTGACTGCCGGGAGTTGTAGTTTCAATACCGCGGGCCCCCGCAAGTCCAGTGGCCGTGCTCCGGTGACACGGAGCCCAAGGGAAGAGGAGAAAGTAGGGCGGCCACCCCGGGCACCAAGGACTCTGAGTCGGAGGTCGTGGGGCTCCGGCGAGGGGCGCAGGGCTCAGGAAGGGCGCGTGCGCGGCAATAGGCCCTGGGGGAGGAGGCAGGGCAAGGCCAGGGGAGGGGGCTGTGGTCGGGGCATCTTGCCTGAAAGATGCACAAGAGGAAGGAAACCCCGGGACCCCCGGGCCGAGGAGCCGCCGCCGCCCGCCAGGTGAGTCTGTACCCCGCAGCCCCGCCGAAAGAATCCTCCCTACCCCTCAGAGGGACCCGATCTCCACCCCCAGGTGAGCCCCGGTCCCCGCCCCCAAGTGAGGTTCGACCCCCAAAGTGCGGCCTACTGGACCTGGCTCCCCAGCTTCTGGCGCCGCGCCCTAGGCCCAGGGCCACCTGTTGCCGTAGCAGCTCCAGTAGGGGAGGGGAAGGCCTCGACCTGGGATAAGGACGGGTACTGCTCCCCAGGCCTGAGCAGCTTTGAACCCTCGCATCAGCCAGGCCAGGTCAGACTCTATTTATCCCCATCGTAAAGATGAGGACATTGAGACCCAGAAAAGTGAAGACACCTGCCCGAGGTCATGGGAATTAAACGCTTGGCCAGAGCTAAGCCCAAATCCAGAGCTGCTGCCATTAGCCCACAGGACTGTGGCTGAGTCCCTTCCCCCCCTCTCCCATCTCCTCTGTCCCAGGCACCAGGAGAGTTTGATTTTTCTCAGCTTTGATGGAAGGAGTCCAGGCCATTGCTTAGTGCCCAGGTGTTAGAGTCTGGCCAACCTGAAGTTCCCTCCTGGCCTCTGCACATTAGATACTTGGCCTCACAGCTCTCAGCCTATTTCCTCATGTGTAAAATGGAGGCCCTAAGAGTCCCTATGTCATAGGACAGGTGTGAAAAATCATTGGGATAGTTTATGGAAAGTACTAGAACACAGCACTCAGTGTTACTATCATTGTTACTATTAGGAGGAGCCATACATAATTGCCAATAATGGGCAATTTTTGATTCACAGAAAGGGCAATTTTGTGTAGTTCAACCTAATATTATCATGTCATGATGGGTCATTAACCAGGATGGGATAGGATAGGAAGTTAGTTTGTTACAGAGCAAAGACCCCACTTTAAATGTCACATTACTGTCAGGGCTTCTGTTTACTTTTGACACCTCCAACCTTCCTGCATGGCCCCTTGTGTGGAGGATGCTGGAAGGAAAAGTCCAGGTGTGTAGAGTGGCTGTGCTTTGGGCAGGGTGTGAGGCCTGCTTTCCCTACTGATCTCTGCTATCAGAGACCTGGGTGCGGATTCAGAGCAGGGAGCTGGACCTCTCTGTCTGCCCTTTGCCCCATGTTAATCTATGGCAGAGGGCCTAGCCCATCTTGGGACACCTGTTGCATTCTGGACCTGTTCCGGACTTCTGACACTCCCCAGGGAAATGGCTTATGCCAGGAGGTCTGGGTTTTCTTTCTCGCAAGGGGACTTTGGGTCCATCATAGCTGCCTTTGGTTAGGTGGGGTGCATCTCAAGGTCTGACTGGACTCTTGCTGTTCCTGCAGCTGGGCCTGCTGGTTGACCTCTCCCCAGATGGCCTGATGATCTCCGAGGATGGAGTTAACAATGAGGAACTGGAGGCCGAGTTCTTGGCTTTGGTTGGGGGCCAGCCTCAAACTTTGGAGAAGCTCAAAGGCAAAGGTGAGACTCTCAGCCCATCCCTGGAACATTTCCTGAGCTCTACTGTGGGCCAGGCTCAGAGCTGGGTGCTAGGAAGATGGGGGAAAAGAGACAGAGAAGGGCCCTGCCGTCCTGAAACTCACAGTCTGGGTTAAAAGTTAAGCTATCAACTCTTGACCCAGAGTGAGGGTTCAAATCCCAGCTCAGCCTCTTACTGGCTGTGACTTAATGAGTACCAGCACCTGTGTGGGCCTCAGTTTCCCCATCTATAAAATGGGAATAAACCACATTTACAGGAATTAATCATCTGTTGTTCTTAAAGCACTTCACGAAGGACCTGGTAACCCACTGTCTTGGGATCAGGGCTGGGATGGGGGAAGCACAGAGCATTGGGAGAGACCCTTGAGCTGGAAGGGGATTCTTGGAGGAGGCACACATGATGGGGAGGGCCACATGAAGAGTTGGAGAGCACTTCTGGGGGGGTCACAGAACATGCAAAGGCCCTGGGAGAGATGGCAGTGGACAGAGGATTCCAAAGTGGTCAAGTAGGGCTGCAGCCCAGACAGCAAACGTAGCCTTTACACTTTTTAGCTAATACAGTTGATCCTCATTATCACAAATTCGGTATTAGTGAATTCACCTACTGGCTAAAATTTATTTATAATCCCAAATCAGTATATGCAGCTCTTTTTCAGTCATTCTTGGACATGCACAGAGCCACAAAAAGTTTGAGTCACCCAACTTGGCCAGTGTCCCACAGTGAGGAAAGTTCCAGAGCCAGAGTTTAAATTCGGGCTTCATAAGGAAGGGATAAGGCCAGTGAGGTCAGCTGGGAAGTAGGATCATGCCTGCCGATCCTAGGGCAGTAGGATGCCATGGATGTGCCAGGAGGGAGACATGCCGTCCCATTGCCTGCTACTCTATTCTCCGGGACTGTGGGTGACCAGGATGGGAGGCCAGGGACTCTTGAAGGATCCCAGTTCAGCTGGCACCTCCCCCTGCTGCCAGGTCCTCTGCCCATGGAGGCCATTGAGAAGATGGCCAGTTTGTGCATGAGAGACCCTGATGAGGATGAGGAGGAAGGGACAGATGAGGAGGATGTGGAGGCTGATGATGACCTGCTGGTGAGTGTCCAGGACGGGGCCGGGGACCTCCCCTCCCATTGTTGCCCCATCCATTGGTTCCCCATGCAGGCCCTTGGCCTTGTGTCCCTACAGGCAGAACTTAATGAGGTCCTTGGAGAAGAGCAGAAGACTTTGGAGTCCCACCCTCCTGTGGCCCAGGTATGCCTCTGACAACCCTGTTCCCTATAGCCCAGGGTTCAAAGCCTTCCCTTGAACCTCTTAGCCATGTGACCACAGGCAGGTGATGGGACACCTCTGAGCTTCAGTTCTCTATACTAGGAAAGGGTATGATCATTTCTGCCCCTCCAAGGTGGGGCAACTTGTCCAGGGGTGACACGCCTGATGTGCAGTAGGCCCTCAACCAAGGACACCTTCAGGGTGGGCCAAATTGGGTCACCACCCACCCACACCATGCCCCTGGCCCCTCCCACAGCCAAAAGCCACAGCCCCCAGCCCAGAGGTGGAGGCCACCTTGCAGGAGAGGCTGGCCCTCTACCAGACAGCGATTGAAAGTGCTAGGCAAGCCGGAGACAGCGCCAAAATGCGGCGCTACGACCGGGGACTTAAGGTGAGTGAACAGACAAGAGGGTACTGGGACCCCACCACTGCTCCTGCACTCAGCTCTGGGCTCTTCCAAAACCCACATTTACACCTTCTCCCAGACACTGGAAAACCTGCTGGCCTCCGTCCGGAAGGGCAATGCCATTGACGAAGAGGACATCCCACCACCAGTTGCTGTGGGGAAGGGCCCAACAGCTGCATCCAGTCACACTCCTGCACCCACTCTGCCAGCCTCTGTGAACCTGCCGGCCCCAGAACCCAGGGTCACGGTGGAGGGTCCTCCTTCCAATGCCCCAGCCTTGTCACTGGGCTTGGCTAAGCCCCAGCTGCCCCCAGGTAGGCCAAGAGCAGGGATGTTGACATGGGATGTCGGAGTATAAGATATATTCAGTGGTTGAATATATACCCTGTACTCTCTATGAGGGTATAGGCCCTGTACTGATTATTAGATATTGTAAACACTCCTTCCTTTCCAAAGTCTTCATGCCCCTGGAGTTCATTAATACCATTCTGTGTGTGTGGTGGTGGTAAAATATATATAACATAACATGCCATTTTAACTATATCTCAGTGTGCGCAATTGAGTAGCATTACACAACCATCACCTCTACTTCCGAAACTTCACCCCAAACAGAAACTGTCCCCATTAAACACTAACTCCCTATATCCATATCCCTCCCCCAGCTCCTAGTAACCTCTCTTCTACTTTCTGTCTCTGTGAATTTGCCTCTTCTAGATACTTTAGGTAAGTAGAACCATACACTATTTGTCTTTTTCTGTCTGGCTTCTTTCACTTAGGATAACATTGCAGCCTGTGTCAGAACTTTATTCCATTTTAGGGCTGAATAACATTCCCACATATAGAGTTTTAAGTGAATAATTCTCAAGCATTCAGCTTGTCTGTCTTTTTTACTAAAATTCACCTGGCTGGAGGAGGCACCTACCTAGAGGTTTTCCTTCCCAACCTCCCCATTTTGGGTCGCCCTCCTCCCACTACAGGAAAGGAGTACCCAACCCCCTCCTTTCTAGAATTTGAACTCTGGGCTCTGCTCTAGGGACAAACACTCCCAGACGGGAACCAATAAGATGACATAAAAGGCTGGCTTAGGATTAAGAACGTGGACACTGGTCTCTAAATCTTTCAGCAGCCAGGTTG